AGAACCTGCTGGATTTCACCCCTGCTTCCAGCTCAAGCCTTCCTCAAGAATAGAGAGAATATAAAGAAGCCCACAGAGTTGTCTACAAAGATTGGTCAAAAACATCAAGATGGTGGGTGCACCTGTTTTTTATGTATATGGCTGGCATCTGACCTTATGGATAATATACCATACCCTGCAGACATATCTGGGCAACTCAGATGCTCATTTTTGGGTTGATTTCCCAGCCACATTTCCTCCCAATCCATGGGCTGGCCAATCTATTTAAAATTGAAAATGAAAAAAAGGACTCCAAGCTTTCTCTTCCCTGTGCCATGGATTGTCTGAACGGGAGATCTTCCATTTTCCCACCAAAACTATTTTCATGCCAGAATATCTTGGGCCAGAATCAGTCTGCCAGAAAAGTGGACTGCTTTTGACATGCCCAAATGGGAAGCAGGACATCTTCAAGCTGTAGTAAGAAGCTGGGAGCGAGCCCATAAGAAACTCAGGCTTTGCTATCACTAGGTTATTTCCTAAATAAAACATTTCTTTCTTCAGGCAAGCACGAGCTTTCAGGATTTTCCATTTGTGGAGAAAAAATATATATTTTTGGTACACAGATCCTTTCCACTGAACAAACTACACACTAACCACCATTTTGTCTTTTCATCAGCCATGTTGCACAGTTTCATTTTATTCTGCTTGTGATCAAGTACAATTCCAGCGTAACATTCTAAGTATGTTATTTGGTAGACTGAGATTAGCAGAATTCCCATGTTCTTTAAACAGAATCATTCTTTCATTCCTGTTGTGGTTTCCGTTATGTGTGGGTGAAACAAGCACTGTGGAGCAGGAAAGCTATGTACAGTATTAGCAGCTTGAGAGCCATGAATGAATGGAAGCCAATCACGCTGTTAAGATCTACTGCTCCTCAGACATAGGAGAGTAAAGAAGTGAAGCTTCAGTTTCTCCAATACATAGAAGAATCCATATACAGCAGTGGTGGGTTTTATTTACCTTTGCTACCCATTCGCTCGCGCACGCATGCTCGCTTTGCTTGCGCACGCGCCACTTATGCGCATGCGCAGAGCGTATTTGATTATTTCCAGGCGGGTGAGTGGAGCCTCGCGCCGCGGCTACTACCGGTTCTCCCGAACCGGTGCGAACCGGGAGCAACCCACCACTGATACACAGAATATATACATATGGATGAGCCCCCCATAATATCAGGATGCTAGAAAAATAAGATTGGAGAAGAGGGAATCAGCTATACTGAAACACAGCACTCCCACTCCCATTCTTTCAAATCAATACAAGAGATCCTCAACTTATGACCACAATTAAGCCCAAACTTACCATTGCTAGGCAAGACAGTTATTAAGTGAGTTTAGCCCTATTTTACGACTTTTCTTGCCACATTGAATGAGTCACTGCAGCTTTTGCAGTGACCCATTTAGTTAGCAACATGGTTGCTACGTGACTCTGGCTTCCCCATCGACTTGGCTTGTCAGAAAGTCGCAAAAGCTGATCGCATGACCCTGGGTTATAAGCACATGCCAGTTGTCAAGCATTCGAATTTTGATCATGCGACCGGTACCTTCGAGACCGTCTTCTGCCACCAATAGCCTCCCACCGGCCAGTCCGCTCCCACAGAGAGGGTCTCCTCAGGGTGCCATCGGCCAAGTTATGTCGGCTGGCGACACCCAGGGGGAGGGCCTTCTCTGTGGGAGTCCCAGCCCTGTGGAATGAACTGCCCCCGGAAATATGTAAAATGTCCAACCTCCGGGTGTTTCGCTGCGCACTGAAGACCCTGTTGTTCCGCCAGGCCGGGCTATCAACATAATAATTTTAAATTGGGGTATTTTAAATTTCTGGGGTTTTAAATTGAGCCAAATCTATTAAATCATTTTAAATTTTTAATCGTTGTTTTGTCTTGTGTTTTTAAATAGGCTGTACACCGCCCTGAGTCCTTCAGGAGAAGGGCGGTATAGAAATAAAATTATTATTATTATTATTATTATTATTATTATTATTATTATTATTACCACCAAGTTAGAGAGATTGTTTGGTAAGAGCCCCATGTATGCATGTTACAAGTACAGGCACACCACAGTTTATCCAGGGACGGTTGTTTTACCTGCATTTTCCATTAAAGCATCCAATCCCAATGCTCTGATTTCTCTGTGGATCAGGAACAAAACAGCAGCCAAAGTATCCTAAATTTGTTCCTAAGCCATGATGGCATTTGGGAGTTAAAGTTTATCTAAGGGTTCTCTTGAGATATGATAGCAAAGAACTACACGCAAACTTGGCAAGGCAAGAGGTGGAACCCAAACCACAGCTGCCATCTCCAAGCCCATATATAGGCATTTATTTATGGAAATAAATGCCAAGTATCCCAGCTATGCTTGAACAGTCCTAGCTCAGAAATGCACTAGTGATTATCCTGGGAATCTGTTCCAATCCTCTTCTGCCTGTACAGTAATTAAACATCTAGTTCAACAACAATGAAACGCTAGTATGAGAATCCAAATGGAAAATTTACATCTAGCAATATTGTCATCTCTACATCGGAGTCATTTACCTTTCGATCACAGCAGGCACAAGATGTTGTGAGTCTCTCAATCTGTGAAGGATGGTTTTTTTTTCAATGGCTGTTGCCTTAAAGAAGCATTTCACTAGTACAAAGGTAAAAGTTCCCCTCACACATATGTGCTTGTCGTTCCTGACTCTAGGGGGCGGTGCTCATCTCCGTTTCAAAGCCGAAGAGCCAGTGCTGTCCGAAGATGTCTCTGTGGTCATGTGGCCGGCATGACTAAACGCCAAAGGCGCACGGAATGCTGTTACCTTCCCACCAAAGGTGGTCCCTATTTTTCCACTTGCATTTTTTACGTGCTTTCGAACTGCTAGGTTGGCAGAAGCTGGGACAAGTAACGGGAGCTCACTCTGTTATGTGGCACTAGGGATTCGAACCGCTGAACTGCTGACCTTTCGATCGACAAGCTCAGCGTCTTAGCCACTGAGCCACCGCGTCCCTTGCATTTCACTAGTAGAGGATAAATATTCCACTTTCAAATTTCGCAGCTTTAAGTACTGCAACAAGATGACTCCAGAGATTCTGTAAACAGGCCTCATAATTATAGTGACCATATTTTCTTGGGGTGGGGGGGGGAAATAAAAGGCAAACCCGAAAAAGGGACTAATCTCAAGACATGCATACAGTAGAATCAGAGGGCTAGAAGAGACCTCGGAGGTCAAACCTGAGAAAATATTATGAAGAACTTACTTCTCTAGACTGGAGTATAACCAAGAATTTCTGCTATGAAATAAGATTAGCAAATAGTAAGGGTAGTAAATCGTAAAGCATTTTTAAAACAACATGAAAAAGATTGTATGATATATTATAAAAGGAGGGTGGTCTTTGATTGCACAACTGCTGCTGCCATCTTGACTTTTCACACACACAATCACACACACACACACAAGGATGCCCTGACATTGGGCAAATACTAGAATGAACACCCTTATTATTTTTTTTCCCGTTTCCTGTTCTTCATCTGCTTTGTACCACAGCCCATAAATTAAGCACACTGGTGTATACAGGCAATATTTGATTGATGACCATAATTGAGCCCTGCCTATCACAGTTGTAAAATCATGATGGTCGGAAAAGGAGCCAGTCATGTGACCGACTCGATTTTACAAACTTTTTTTGCAGCAATTGATACAACAATTGCTTTGCCTGTTAAACAAATGCCATTGAGTGGCTGAAGTTTGGTTATGTGATTGCAGGGGAGGGGGCAACCATTGGAATGTTGAATCCAGCCAGGCAGGGGTGGGCTTCAAAAATTTTAGCAAGGGGTTCTCTGTCTGGTTGCTGGGTAGGCGTAGCCATGGTGGGTGTAGCCTAGTCAGCCTCCTGCAATATGGTGGCAAGGGGTGTGTTTTTGCCCTCACCAGGCTCTGGGGGCTTCCTTCAAGCCTCCGGGAAGGTGAAAATGGTCTCCCCAGGCTCCAGAGGCCCTCTGGAGCCTCCGGAATGGGCCTACCGGAAATTCGGGAAGGCTGGAAACTTCCCGAACTTCCGATAGGCCCATTTTTCGCCCTCCCCGAGCCTCCACATGCGCCCTGCACTTACCTGCATCCAAAACAGGCCATGTGGGGACTCCTGGGATGGGTGGGGTGGGAGGGGCCAGCCAGGAGTGGGATTTGGGGGTTCTCCAAACTGCACAGAATCTTAGCTAGAGGTTCTCGTGAACCTCTGCGAACCCCCAGCAGCCCACCCCTGCAGCGAGGTCATAACTAGTCCCAGGGTAGGTCCACTTTGAATGGTCACTAAGAGGCTAGTCTTAAGTTGAGGACTACCTATACAGGGGTGGGTTCTATTTACCTTTACTACCGATTCGCAACGGGATCGTGCGCGCAGAAGCTTCTGCACATGCGCAGATCACCGATGACGACATCCGGGGTGGTGGGCAGGGCCTCCCGCTGGTTTTACTACTGGTTCTTGCGAACTGGTCCGAACCAGGGGCAACCGACCACTGTACCTATATTGTAAAATTAAGTACTGAATCCTTATGTAGTAAAAGTAAATTAGGAAGTGATTTTGATTTTTTTTTTAAAGCGTGGGAGCCTAAATAAATACATGCTGTTAGATTGATGTACAGCACGTCCCTTTATTTCATAACATTGGTCCAAAAATTCCCTGCAACTGATCTGATCTTTGCACTCGGGATCTAGAAACAGGGATCCAGATGCATTTCCTGGGTTAGCTGGTGATCTTCCCCTTTATAGGACAAATCTGATCCGCTAGCAAGTTTGGCTAAGCAGAGAAGAGCAAATATCAAACAGACAGGCAGAGGTCTCTATTATTTTGGGACCTGAAAATTTTTTGTAAAAAAATCATCCTGGGGAACAAAGCAGAGGTCATAAAACACACATTATTGGAAGGGGTAAAAAAATAAAAAGATGCAACTGTTGAAGCAGTGATATCATTGTCTGAGTAACCGCAGACTTACTTTCTTTGCGAACCTCGTGGAGAGCAGCATTCAGTTCTTCCATAAGGACAGGAGCCTCTTTGGCAATTTTCTCCCCTTTATCCAGCAAGTTCCAAGTAGCTTCTTCCACAGAAGCAAGAATTACACGAGCTCTTTTGGAACATCCTTTTCTCTTGCCAGAAGGATTCTGGGGGCAATTCATTAATGTGGTCACCTAAAACATAAAGGGAAGACCCACATCTTCATTTCTGCAGTTAAACATGTCGCCCTGGGTCTGTATCAAATAAAGAAGTGCTGAGATACCAGCAGTGAGTAAGCTCCAACTTAAGGACCATGGCATGCAATGTCAGCATATAACTGTGACATATCCACATAGAATCAGGCAGGGGTGGGTTCTACTTACCTTTACTACCGGTTTGCAACGGGATCGCACATGCGCACTTGCTTCACTCATGCACGCACCTTATTTCTGCGCATGCGCAGATCACTGATGATGACATCCGGGGCAGTGGGCGGAGCCTCCCGCCAGTTTTACTACCGGTTCTTGCGAACCGGTCCGAACTGGGGGCAACCCACCACTGCATAGAATGAACAGGGGGTTATTTCAGAAATCAACATATCTTGCACTAAACCATGCTTTGCTTAACTGTGTTCCTGGAGATTTCAAAATAAATCTTAACAGAATAATAACAGAATTGGAAGGGACTTTAGAGATCTTCTTATCCAACAGCCTGCTCTATCCAGAGACTTTATTCCATTCCAGACAAGTGGCTGTCCAGTCTCTTCTTAAAAACCTCCAGTGATGAAACACCCACAACTTCTAAAGGCAAGTGGTTAGTTCCAGTGGTTAGTTGTTCCCGCTGTTATTGTTACCGCTGAACTAAGGAAGTTTCTCCTTAGTTCTAAGCTGCTTCTCTCTTTGATTATTTTCCATTCATTGTTTCTTGTCCTGCTTTCTGGTGTTTTGGAAAATAGGTTGACCCCCTCTTCTTTCTGGCAGCCCCTCAAATAGTGCAACACTACTATCATGTCATCTTTAATCCTTCTTTTCACTAGACTAGACATACCCAGTTCCTGCAATGGGTATGTATTCTTCATATATTTTAGCCTACAGCCCCCTAATCACCTCTATTGCTCTCTTTCCAGAGTCTCTATATCTTTTTTATAAAATGGTGACCAAAATTGGATGCAGTATTCTAAGTATGGTCTTACTAAAGCTTTGAATCGGAATAGAGCTGGAAGAGACCTTGGAGAACTTCTAGTCCAGCACCCTGCTCAAGCAGGAGATCCTATACTATTTCAGACAAGTGACTGTCCAGTCTCTTCTTAAAAGCCTCCAGTGATGGAGCGCTCGCAACGTCTGAAGGCAAAGCTGTTCCACTGGTTAATTGTCCTCACTGTTAGGAAGTTTCTCCTCAATTGTAGGTTGCTTCTCTCCTTGATTAGTTTCCATCCGTTGTTTTATAAAGTGCTTTATAAAGTGGTACTACTACTTCACGTGATCTTGATTCTGTCCCACCGTTAATGCAACCTAGGATTCTGTTGACTTTTTTGGCTCTGCCACACACTGTTGGCTCATATTTTATTGTCCATTAGGACTCCAAGGTCCGTCCCACAGTTGCTGCTATTGAGCCAGGTTTCACCTAATCTGTGCCTGTACATTTGATTTTTCTTTCCTAAGTGTAAAATCTTACTTTTCTCTACACTGAATTTCATTTTGTTAGATAGGGCCAGTGTTCAAGCCTATCAAGATCCATCTGGATCTTGAGCCTATCTTCTGGAGTGTTGGCTATTCCTCTCAGTTTAGTGTCACCTGCAAAATTTGATGAAATCCTCCTCTATTCTCTCGTCTAAATCATTTATGAAGATGTTGATCCACATGGAATTCTAAGTCTTAAACCAGGGTTTCGGCGGCGGCAGCAGCGGTGGGTGGGCCCGCCCACGATCTCCGCTACCGGTTCGCCCAAACTGATACGAACCGGCTGAATACCACCTCTGCTTTTCCCCCAAATTACTTATCCCAATGCAATAGAACACTTTCAGTCACTTTAGCTGTTCCTGTTGTAATTGGGTAAAGAGTACTTGTGATTACCCAAAGAAAAAATAATTTTACCTGATTTGGGTAATTTACACAGTGTGGGGAAGCACTGTCTCAAACCATGGTTTCCAAACTCCAAAAAGTCCAGCCAAATACTAAGGAGCCGCTTTATAGCTTTGTGTGATGTGTGAATGCAGCCAGGGTACAGGAACAGGGAATTGCCCATAAATTATTCCACTGAATTAATGATGCAAGAGGTGGTGGCACCTGTGATCTATTTAAAGTTTAATTTTGATTCCCAAGACAACTTTAAAGTTATCCGCTGATTATTAAAACCTTTTCCTCTGCTATGCTAAGTGAAAGGGAAATACGGTTTTTCATTTTAAGAGTCTCTTTTAATGAAACTACATTTTTTTTAATATCCGAGGTGTGAGAACTGTTGGACAGAAGTGAAATATTATTTTAATAAAATAGCACATTCACAACTGTCCTGAAATACAGCACAGGGAGTTATGGACATTTTCCTCCATAACCCTCATTATATCTCACTTTTTAAAAACTCTGCTGCTTTGTTTCAATAATGTAATTGCTGTTTAAAATTATGGGAGTTATCAAACATCAACATGTAATTTATCATTGCATCGTTACAAGTTAGGATTCCCCTTTTACCTTGGAACCAGTGGTGGTATTCAGCCGGTTCGTACCGGTTCTAGCGAACCGGTAGCAGAGATCGCAGCTGGGCCCGCCCACCCACCCCAGCGTTAAGAAGTCCTATTTAGCCACGTTTTGAGACCAGGCGCATGTGCGAGGGAGCAAAGTGCATGCACTGAAGGCCAGGCACATGCATGGAAGGCGCACATGCAAAGCACGCATAACATGCGCAGTGAACTGGTGGTAAGAATATGTGAAACCCACCGCTGCTTGTAACATGTGAAATTATATAATTAAAATATGTCAAGAGGATAAACATCCATGCAAACTAGTTTTCTAATTCATCAGCATGTCTGAATAAAACAAAATTGAGGCTGAAAATAAATCAAGCTTTTTAAGTGTACGCTGAGAACTGCATGAGAAGATTGAAATGCTTTGGAAAGAAACGTATTTATAACAGCCAGAGGCATAATAAACATAGCAGTTCCTGCAAGGATTAAACTATATTTTAAAAATTATCCTATGGGAAAGGCATGCGGAATGCTCTATATTGGGAAGTTGCTGGCAAACAGATTAAAACAGCAGTTTTTGTAGTGGGTCAGGTGGTCTGCCTCTGCAGATATAATGACTTTTAAAATGGCCTCATCTGAAGAAGAAAGAAGCCAATTTCTTGGCAATATGGACGGAAGACAGAAGGTTTTAAACACAATAAAAGTAACTATCCAGGGTAAATCTATTAAATTTCAGGGAAACATGAAATTATTCATGATTATTCATATTTTTGTGGGAAGTAATTTTAATAGAAATAACACAACATATAACAGGATTTTTTTTATAGATCAAGCACCGTTTACAGCCAGGTACTCCAAAGTTATCAATAATCACCCCCAAAGGTGGAAGCGGCCGGCTAGTCGTTGTTGTCGTTCGTACTACTTACTGTTAGTTAAAGTACTATTCCGGGGTGGGCTGCTGGGGGTTCGCAGAGGTTCGGGAGAACCTCTAGATAAGGTTCTGTGCAATTCGGAGAACCCCTAAATCCCACTCCTGGCTGGCCCCACCCCACCCTGCCCTGCCCCTCCCAGGAATCCCCACACAGCCCATTTTGGATGCAGGTAAGTGCAGGATATGCGTGGAGGCTCGGGGAGGGCGGAAAATGAGCCTACCGGAGGTTCAGTAGGCCTCCAGAGCCTGGGGAGGCCGTTTTTGCCCTCCCGGAGGCTCAAAAAAAGCCTCCAGAGCCCAGGGCGGGCAAAAATGGGGCAGGAGGCCGACTAGGCCACACCCACCATGGCCACGCCCACCCAACAACCTGACAGAGAACCCCTTGCTAAAGTTTTTGAAACCCACGCCTGGTACTATTTCTGAAATCATTTTTGTATAATTAATTTGGGGGATTGATGAACACTTCATAAAGGAGTTGGTGACCTGAAGTGTTTGGGGACTCCTGAGTTTAACTGATTAATTAATTTAACTTAACTGATTTTGGAGCAATCTATGAACCGCAAACCAAAATTATCCTTCCAGTCCTTGCTTAGGCCATAAAATGAAAACTAGTCCTTTATTAACATAATGTCCAGGGAAGCATTGTGAATTCCAAACATACAGAAAAGCCTGCCCACCATCTTCAGGGAGCAGGTTAAAAAGGCCAATATGGTAGCCACATACATGCATTAAAGCCTATCAATTTTTTACATCCATCCAATGCAGTGTTTCCCAACCTTAGCAACCATTTAAGATATATGGACTTCTATGCCCAGAATTCCCCAGCCAGCCACGGTCTAATGCAAGGGTGTCAAACTTGATTTCATTGTGGGCCGCCTCAGGGTTGTGTTTGATCTCGGGGAGGTGGGGGGCGTGGCCAGGGGGCATGGCCAGCTCAATGTCACTCATCGAGGCTCTGTTTTCGGCCACGATGGCCCTCCTGGCTCCGTTTTTGGCCACAATGGCCTCCTGCAACCCTCTGCCAGCAAAAAGGGAGCTCGGGAGGCCCCCCCCCTGAGCTCCCTTTTCACTGGCAGAGGCACAGCAGGCCGATCCTTCGCTATTTCCAGGGCAGGCCTGCGGACCAGATCTAAGCACTCTGCGGGCCAGATTTGGCCCCCGGGGGTTTAGTACCCCTGGTCTAATGGTTGTAACATCTGATCAAACAAGATCAAATTTAGTAACTTTGCACCAGGGGTGAAATCTAAATTTTTTTGCTATCAGTTATGTGGGCGTGGCTTGGCGTGGCATGGTGGTCATGTGACTGGGTGGGCGTGGCAAGTTTGACATCATTCACGTCACTCTGCTGTGCATGGGGCGCTTGGAGAGAGAGTGAGCAAGACAGCTTTCCAACCTCTGTTTGTGTGTGTGTGTGTGTGTGTGTGTGTGTGTGAGGCGGGGGAGGGAGCGATCTGAAGCTGAGGCACCAAACTTCTGGCAGCGGTGGGGCAGCTTCTGAGTAGCCAGCTCCACCTGACCTACTCCCTGAGTCTCACCGTTCTCCTGGGCCCCCTCCCCCCACCCAGCTCCAGCAGCAGCTTCCCTGCTCATCCCCAACAAGCTATGCATCCATGGTGCCCGCACCAGCATCCCGAGAGAAGCAGAGAAGATCATCGCTTGCAAGCAGACAAGCAGAGGTAGCAAGCGTATGCGGTGCTGTGGAAAAATGAGAGGTCCTGTTGTCCCGCAGAGCCTGCCACTGCTTGAGCTGGAGGGGGGGCAGGAGAGCGGCGAGACTCAGGGAGTAGGTCAAGTGGATCTGGCTGCTCAGAAGCTGCCCTGCTGCTGCCAGAAGTTTGGGTGCCTCGGCTTCAGATCGCTCCCTCCCTCACACACACACACACACACACACAGACACACAAACAAAGGTTGGAGAGCTTTCTTTCTCACTCGCTCTCCAAGCACCCCATGCACAGCCCGTTTGAGGAAAGGGCACGGACGGCTGGACGCGTTTGGCTGCAGAAGGAGGCACAGCACAATGGGGTTGTTTTGTTCACCGAGGTGGTACTTCAGAAGGGCAGGCGGACGTCTGCAGCTGACAACCCTAATGAATATGTCCACCTGCCCTCCCAAAGCACCACCGTGGCGAACAAAACAACCCCATTACTATGGATGCGTAGCTTGTCGGGGCTGAGCTGGGAAGCCGCTGCTTGAGTGGGGAGGGGGCAGTAAGCTGCTAGCTCCTTCCCCGCAGCCCTGCCATGCTTACCTGCCTTCCACATGGACTTCTGCTTGCCTGCCTTCGCAAGCTGCCACCGGGACGCCAGGAAGGCAGCATGGAAGGCAGGCAAGCATGGCAGGACTGCAGGCTGTGGACCGGTTCGGGGGCGTGGCCAGCCAGCCATTGCTCCCGGTTCAGTGAACTAGTCTCAATCTCCGCTACCTACTCGCCCAAGCCAGTCCAAACAGGGAGCATTTCACCCCTGCTTTGCACGTGAATCATTGTAGTTTGTAAATGATGGTTAAATTAACTTCATATTATTATCAGTATGATATTTCTTATAGTTTTAGATGCCACTTTATTACCTAGACCAGTGTTTCTCAGATCTCAGAAACTTTGAGAAGTGTGGATTTCAACTCCCAGAAAACATAGATTGCTCTTTTTGGATTTTACTCACAGATTCTAGTCTGGTTGTTTCATAGATGTAGTTTAATTTGGGGGGTTTTTTCACTGTCTCTTAAGATAGATTTATAAGTATTCACAGAGCACTCCTGGACACATTGCTTGTACCAGTCTAAAACTGTAATAAACTGACTGACTGATATTATTGTCAAGCATGAGTCCACATGTCATCAATGGGAATGGGTACATGCCTAAAGATTCCTTTAACCAAAATTCTGTGTATATTTTCTAAATTGTGCCAGATACCACATGAACCATACAAATGGTCTTCCGGGTGCGCTTCAAGGTGTTGGTTACCATCTTTAAAGCGCTCCATGGCATAGGACCTAGTTATCTTCGAGACCACCTGCTGCTACCGACGACCTCCCACCGACCTGTGCGCTCCCACAGAGAGGGCCTCCTCGGGGTGCCATCAGCCAAACAATGTAGGCTGGTGACCCCCAGGGGGATGGCCTTCTCTGTGGGGGCACCTACCCTCTGGAATCAGCTGCCCCCAGAGATAAGGAGGAGCCAAGACCTCGGTGCCTTCCGCCGTGCCCTTAAAACTTTCTTTTTTCAGCAAGCTGGGCTGGCTTAACATATTTTTAATATTTTTTAATTTTTAATTGGTTTGTTATCTTAAATTGGAGCCAAATTAATATATATCCTTTTAACTGTTTTTAATGTTTATATTGTATGCTTTTATCTGGCTGTACACCGCCTTGAGTCCCTCGGGAGAAGGTGCGGTATATAAATTCAAGATAAAATAAAAAAAATTAAAAAAAATAAATGAAAAATGTTCCATGTTTCATTTCGCATCCCACAACCCACTTTCCTCTTGACGTGGTCTACCTGAATTATGAGGGGTTCCAGCAACTTCTCCACGGTATGCGTCTGAATCTGTAGATTCTGAGGATCAATTTTAATGTTCAGGCAAGGATCTGCTGCTGCCATTTTACCTGTAAGCGAAAGATAGTTTATTTTATAGTAGTGCTAGACAACTCATTGTTTCAGACATATTTCCTTACCAAATTCCTCATACGCTTTCAACAAAGATAGAGCTTCTAATGAACTTCACTGAAAAAGTTCTTAAAACTTCAGGGAAATATTTGAGAGATGTTATCTGCCTTGAATTGTACAGCACAGTCAAGCATCAGCAGTTGACCATGGGATACGCTTTATGACATTTTATATTAGGTCAGAAAATGCTTTATGATAATTTTAGGGGGATAAGTGCAAATTTTTTCATATTGCCAAATTTATTAGCATCCTCTGTAACTTGAAGCAGGCAAGAACCATAAAAAATTAACAATCGCTGATGTTTGTGGGCCATCAATGCATACGTCTCTGAACAGGAAAATGAAAGACCAATTCCATCCTCATTCAATGGGAACTTAAAAGAATAATCTATTTTAGGACTGCTGTATTAATTCAAGCAATACAAAATAATAAATTTGAAGTCACTCTGTATAGATCAGTGTTTTTCAAGCTTGGCACCTTTAAGAGATGTGGACTCCCAGAATTCCCCTGCCAGCATTCCCCAGAATATAGATCACTATTTGTTCTAAGATTGTTCCCAGGTTGTTGTTGTTTTTTTTTTCCTTAAATAGCTGTCAAAATATAACATTCGTGCAAAAGTAGAATCAAAACTGGGACTAAAGCATGTCTGATTTCTTCACTGCAGTTTTTAAAATCTGCAATAACGCATACGGTAGCATGACTCAATTTCCACTACCCATACTTACCCAGTCTGCCTACTCAGGTCAAGGATCATTTCAATCGTAGTCTTTGCTTTGCAGAAGTTCCCCTCCCTTCTCTTTATTACATTATTGGAACAAATGCGAATTATTTTATACAGCAATTCAAGTCTCCCCCCCCTCCCTTTTCATGGTTAACTTTTCATGGTTAACCATGGTTTAGTATCAGTCAATGACTGCGAAGAACAAAGGTGCCTAAAATTTATTGAAAAGAGAAGGAAACCACAGACAATTCTTTAGAATAGAACTGACTGCTCACAGCTCCAACAATTCCTAGCCGCTGTTAACAGCAGTTGGGAATCCAGAGGCTTGTAAGCAGGGGTGAAATCCAGCAGGTTCTGACAGGTTCTGGAGAACCGGTAGCGGAAATTTTGAGTAGTTCAGAGAACCAGTAAATACCACCCCTGACTGGCCCCGCCGCCATCTATTCTCTGCCTCCCGAGTCCCAGCTGATTGGGAGGAAATGGGGATTTTGCAGTAACTTTCCCCTGGAGTGGAGTGGGAATGGGGATTTTGCAATATTTTTCCCCTGCCATGCCTACCAAGCCACGTCCACCAAGCCACGCCCACAGAACCTGTAGTAAAAAAAATTGGATTTCACCACTGCTTGTAAGTCATCAGGATTTAGAAGGCACCAGATTGGAGAGAGTTTACATAGACTAAACGGCAAGAGGATTCATAATTAATGTGAATGATAAATTCACACGTCTCTAGCAATGATGTACTGTATGTGCAATGTTAGTTTTGGACATCAAAATATAAAACACTCTGCAAGACTTCAAATATGTTTTTTTCCTATGGCCAGCATAAGAATGAGGTGGATGTGCACAAAAAGCCAAATCAGAATCGATTGCTTCTTCCAAAAGAGTAAATATCTATCGGACGATGAGCTGGTAAGAGACTGGCCTCCTACAAGTTAGTTTCAGCACTTATTTAAATTACCAGAAACTCATGCAGCCCACTGGTGAAATTCAATTTTTTTTACTACCGGTTCTGTGGGCGTGGCTTGGTGGGCGTGGTGTGGTGTAGTGGGTGTGGTGTGGCCTGGTGGGCAAGGCTTGGTGGACGTGGCAGGGGAAGGATTGGAAAGAGCCTTGGTAGTACAGGGGTTTAAGGCACCCTGTTATTAAGCTGGTTATTAAGACCAGCTGCCTGCAATTACTGCAGGGTTCGAATCTCGCCAAGGCTCAAGGTTGACTCAGCCTTCCATCCTTTCTAAGGTAGGTAAATTGAGGACCCAGTTGTGGGGGCAATAAGCTGACTTTGTATAAATATACAAAAGGATGAAGGCTATTGCTGAGCACATTGTAAGCCGCCCTGAGTCTTCGGAGAAGGGCGGCATATAAATCAAATTTTTTAAAAAAAGGATATTGCAAAATCTCCATTCCCTCCCCACTCCAGGGGAAGGATACTGCAAAATCCCCACTCCCTCCCCACTCCTGTGGGAGGGATATTGCAAAATCTCCATTCCCACCCTGCTCTGGGGCCAGCCAGAGGTGGTATTTGCCGGTTCTCCGAACTACTCAAAATTTCCACTACTAGTTCTCCAGAACCTGTCAGAACTTGCTGGATTTCAGCCCTGATGCAATTTTTATGAAAACCCAACTAAGTTGCCAGCCTTCCAAGAGATAGAAGAAATAAAATCATTAACCTGCTCAATTTAACTATCATTTATTTACCATTATGGGAAGCACTGAATTGGCCTTGAAACATATAACCACTTTTTATGAAGACTTGTTCTGAAAGCCATTTGGTCCAATAATTTATGATCTGTTTCACACTTTGCATCTTGAAGTGTCCTAGCTGGCCAAGTTGATTACATTTCTCCATCCTCGGCTTCCTGTTAGGTTGATCCCAAAATTTTCCATCCGATGCTATCCAGATAAGCACCGTGTTTGTGTTGCTTCGAGCGGGTCTCTCCATAAAATTATTTTAACCAATCTCTTTATATTACTGCATTTACTAAATCCATATCTTGTCGTTCTGGATTCCAACATTTCTACAACTTTTGCATTTTAATAATTCATTACTAATGTCTTGTTAGTTGCCTTTAGCAGTTTTTGCAATTTCCATAGAATTCTCGTGCCTTTCACCATTGCATCTGTAATGAATGCACATACTCGTATAACACTGATGCTATTAGTTGGTGTGCACAGATATATATTATTCTGTCATTTATAAGGTTATATCTGAGTTTTATGGAGTTGTAGTTCTTCAGATCTGAAGCTGGAAATATGCTTTGAAGCAGGGATACGCCAGTACCTATGTCATTATCTATTGTGATCTCCTAAAAGAAGCTTTGTCTCTTCTTGGGATATCACATGATCTAAGGAAAGTACGCCTTGGAGCTGTGGTGGCACCAGCAGTGTACCCACGCTCCTTCCAAAGCACATTCTCACACCCTGCAACACTATTTACTAAATACTTCCTTCAGACTGCCTAGCTACAGTACAGTCCGAAAGAAAGACACAGTTTCTGTATAGAGCCATTGACAGGTATAATATGTGCTCCCATGCCCTTTTTCAGCTTCTCATCTGAAGGGTTGCCCATTATAAACTTAAAGATAACCCTCCTTAATATTATTTTTTTAATTGATTTGTTTATTCAATTTCTATAAATGCTCATCTCAGCCAAGTGACTCAGGATGGGTTACAATTCTAAAATTCTAAAATTGTTTAAACAATTTAAAATAATAACAGCAAAAAATAAATACATACAGCAGCCGAAATAGTTAAGCAACTCACAGCAAAGCCAAAAAAAACCCAGGACCCTTAACATATTCTGAGCCCAATGCCTAGGTACACAGTATTTATTTATTATTTATTTATTTATCGTATTTGTATAGCGCCCTACTCCCGGAGGACTCAGGGCGGTGAACAGCCAAGGTAAAATACAAAGAACATATAAAAGTTAAAAACTATTAAAAATAAATTAAATAATTTAGGCTCGAAAAAATTTAAGACATCCAATTTATCTAAAAACAGTCAAGTTTTTAAAATCTTACAAAAAGCCAACAGAGTTGGGGCCATTCTAATCTCCAATGCAGGGGTGAAATGCTCCTGGTTCAGACCGGATCGCCCAATCCGGTAGCGATGGAGGCGAGTGGTCCAGAGAACCGATAGCAAAAATCCCTGAAACCCCCCCCATGCCCAGCTGAGCCGCACGATCATCAGAGGCTTTTTTTTCTTTTAAATGGCTCTGACGATCCAAGCTCTGACGATCCCAGGTAAGTTGCCTGATCGGCAATCAGGCAACTCAGCTTGGATCGTCAGAGCCATTTAAAAGAAAAAAAGTTTTTTTTTTCTTTTAAGTGCCTCTGATGATCCAAGCTCTGACGATCCAAGCTGAGTTGCCTGACGATCAGGCAACTCAGCTGGGATTGTCAGAGACTTTTGAAAGCATTTTTTTACAACCTCTTCGCCGAAGAGGTTGTAGAAAAAAATGGTTTTAAAAGTAAAAAAAAAAATTGGCCACGCCCACCCAGTCACATTAACCCTCCCCACCAAGCCACGCCCACAGAACCGGTAGTAACAAATTTTAGATTTCACCACTGCTCCAATGGGAAGATTTCCCACAGCTCCTGCAGAAAAGGCCCATCTTCTATTTCCCATCCTCTGTTTCCTATTAGGTTGATCCCAATATTTTTCATCTGATGCTATCCAGATAAGCACTGTGTTTGTGTTGCTTCAAGCGGGCCTCTCCATAAAAAAATTATTTTAACCAAGCTCCTACATTACTACATTTACTAAATCCATACCTTGCTGTTCCGGATTCCAACATTTCTACAACTTTTTCCTTTTAATAATTCATGTATGTATCCAAATTTGCAAGCTAAATGTTGGAGATGTGAATGTGACGATGCAACTTATTATCATATATGGTGGACTTGTAAGGAAATCAAAGCATTTTGGATAAAAATTTGGTGGGTGATGCAGAACATCTTGAAAAAAAGGTTGAAATTTACTCCGCAATAGTTTTTATTGGGTATAATTACGGATTGTACAGCATTAGAGTCTAAACTGATTTTAAATTTAATATCAGCAGCTAGGCTGTTGATAGCGCAATATTGGAAGAAGGGCTTTTTGCCTACTATTGAAGAGTGGACACTGAAAGTAACGAACTTAGCAGAAATGGCAAAAATTTCAGCGTATTTGAAGGACTATACACAAGAAAGATACGCATTAGAATGGAGAAGATGGATTGATTATATTCAAAATAAGTATCAGACAAGAAAATCTCAAATAGTTTATGAATGAATGTTAAGTTTTAGAAGTATTATGTTATTTATAGTGGAGTTAAGGTTTCAGGGGGGGATTTTGTAGTCAAACGATAGATAGGTTAACTTAGCTTATGATTGTTAATTGAAATACCCTGTATTTTG